GCAGTCACGCCGGAGCCGCACGACCGCGGAAGCTGGCGAGGACCCGGAGCAGGGTTGCGGGCGCTACAGTGCTGGGACCAGGGTGCGGGAAGCAGGGCTTCCAGGAACCCACCCAATGCCGGCCGTCCCTACTCCCTACCACGAGAGTGGGCTCTTGGCGGAGACGCTGGGAGACAGCTGAAGGCTGGGGCTCAAGGCAGGTGCACGTCCTGGAGAGGGGGTCTCGGTTAAGGGGGGGCGCCCGTAGAAGAACCCGTGGCTGCTCCAGCAGCTGCTCACTCGCCCTCATTTAGTCAGTTCAGAGAGAGCTACGTCAGAACCAAGAAGCGTGACCCAGGACCCTCGTGGTCATGGTGCCAGCTGGAGCATAGGGTCTGCCTGTGAGACTGTGTCCAGCTGCGAAGGATGCACAACTATGGCTTAAGGGCTCCTTCCCACTCCCCCCCAAATTCCACATCCTTTCAGCCACAGCTCTTTCTGGCTGTGTGGCCCTGGGCAAGTCACAGTGGCCTTCTGAGAGCCTCTGGACGTCTCGAGGGACCATTGGTCATAGGACTTCTGGGGTTCTTATCTCCCTATCACCAAAGAAGAAACTGAGTTCCAGGGGAAAGAAGCAGTCTGTCCAAGGGAGCAGACCTAGTCAACGATGGGGCACGCAATCCAGTTTCCTCTATTGCCCCCAATGCTGCTCTTGGCTTCTCCAAGCCAGTCTCCTCATCCGCATGATGGGAGGTTGAACTCAATGACAGCTAAAGGACCTTCTGATATTCTTTCATTAGGTCTGGGCCATAACTTCAAAATAAATGGGACACAGGATATTAGTGGCCACTATTCCAAGGGCAAGTATATTTGGGAAATGGTGCCATAAACACAGAGTAGATTTCCGTACTGAGGGACTTTTCAGAGCCTTTAATCTGAGAGTGTACACTGTCAGTCTCCCGGGGGGAGGTGTAGGCTGCCATGTCCCCATGTGTACTAGACCACAGAGCGTCTTGTAAAATGACTAGAGCTTTGCAGAACACAGTCTAAAAAGCACCAGCTCCCCCAAGGCTGATAACTGGGAGCTCAGTCCACCTCTCCTCTACCCATCCCCCTACATGAGAGTGTTTCCAGGGCTCAGGCCTCAGTCTCTGCCCTTCTCACTTGGCATACTCTCCCTTGGCAGCTTCTCACCCACGCATGGGCTTTCAGAACTCACCCATGCCCATGACACACCAGTCTCCGTCTCTAGACGTGGCTGCATCTCCAAGTACTAGGTCCATATGCAGTTTTCTGCACATTCCCCCCTAGACATCCCACAGCTCCTTGAACTCAGCACATCCAAAATGGAACTCATCGTCTTTTTCCTAAACCTCTCCCATCCTGGTATCATTTATCTCTTGGCAAATAGCAGCAGCATCCACCCTGTCACCAAGCAGGAAACCTGGGTGCCATTTGGGACTCCTTCTCTCTCCACTCCCACATCTAGGTCCTGTCCATTTTTTTTTCTCTAATATCTCCCAACGTCCCCATTGCTCACTGACCTAGTACAAACCTCTCTGTCTCACTTGGACCCTTTTAAAGCTCAACACCACCTGGCCCAACATCACTCTCCAGTCTTTTCTTAATATTTCTTGCCAGCAATTTTCTAAATGACACACATGACCCCATCACTACCTTGCACAAAACCCTTCATGGCTGCTTACTGCCTATGGGATTAAAATGATCTAAGTTCCTTAACATGATCTCCAAGACCCTTCGTAACCCGCGTCAATCTCCAGCCTCAGATCCTACAGCCCATCTCTCAAAATTGCATTCCACCACACTGAAAATTGAGCTCCATAAATGCACTCACAGTTATTATACTTCTTGGAACCTAGAGGAGTGTCAGGAAATGGGGGCATTTGTGTATAGTTCCTGCTCTCCCCTCAACACAAAAGCCCTTGTCCTACTAATGCCGTGACGGTTCAGTACCACGGAGAGCGTCATATGGGCCGTTCCCCCTCCCCAGGCTCTGTAGTCACGCTCTGCCTATGCTGTCTACCTAGTTGCCTCCTCCCACTTGTTATTTAGAAACCCAGCACAGGCATGGCTTCCTCCAGGAAGCCCTCCCTGAACCACCTGAACAACTGTCACTTCCTCCTCTGGGCTACTTTAGTAATCTCTGTATCCCTCTATCCTGCCCGACACATTGCGCTGATTATGTTTGCGCGTGAGTCCACCCCCACAATAGGCTGTGCGTCTTGAACGCCCATACCCCGTCTGATTCATCTCTGCAGCCCAGTACAGAGGAGGCGTTCAGAGAATGTTTGTTGATTGAATGAGTAAATGACATTTAGCAGGTGCTCAGGAAGGATGTGTTGATTTGTGTCATGTGTCTGTTGCTCTGAATGACTCCAGATTCCTCTCCTGGCCCTTCTGGAAAAGACATTTTTCTCCCTAATTGACTCCACCCTCCATTAGCTTCCATGTGTCATTTGCACTCACCCTTTGATTATCTTCTCTACAGGTCAACCCGCAGGTAGGGAGAAGGCACCTCCTCTCTGTTCCTGGTGCTGCCAAACTGGGATTGTTGGCATGCCATCCCCCAGCCCAGGCATGCCTCAGGAGTTTTGCTCAGAATGCTTCATCTCTGCCTCTCTCTCCTGCTCAGAACAGATGGCTCTGAGTCCCCACAAACACAGGCCTTTCTGCTCTGTCATTTGAACAATTTTAACACTTTCTAAATTATAGACGCTTCAGCCTCCCTTGATCATGGATTCAGACCATCAGAAATGAAGAATCTCTTGAAGGACATTGAGTCCAGCCTCTTCCCTGTCCCATGGAGAGACTGCATCTGAGATAGGACCAGTGGCCTGCCCAAGGTCATTGTAATGGACACCATCTTTGTTTTCTTGGTTGCTTTTTTAGTCTTTTTTCCATTTCACTACCTTTTTGTTTTGATGTTCAGAGCCCATCCCCTTTCCTTACAGCACTCTGGTTTCCTGGTCTTAATGGAGTTATAAATCAAGGTACGTGTAGGATCCAACCAGACCCTCTTGCCCAGTGTTTTAAACCTTGAGTAGGGTAGCAAAAGAATAGGAAAAATTTGTCTGGACCTTGGCGAAAGCCCTCCCAATATGATGGTCCAGGGAGCCCTGCTCCTGAATCTTCAATCTTCCCATTGATTCTGTGAACTCCTAATATGTTTCCAATAAATTTCTTTCTTACTTAAGATAGTTTCTATTCCACACAACCCTACAACCCTAACTGATGTGGCCGCACAGAAGGAGCAAGTGCAGTCACATACTTCTTGCCAGGATGATGCCTGGGACCTGGAATGCAGCATGTTCCTGGGAGCGGGTCAGGCAGGAGGACCTCAACCTGCTGAGCAGCATGTTCCCTCATGACGTTCCCAACAAACAAGTCCCGAGCATTAGGGACTGGGATTACAAAGCAGGTGCCCTTTAAGCCAGACAGGTGTGTTCCAGTGGCCACTCCCCTGCTCTGGTCTGACCTATACCTGTGACCTCAGCCCAGTCTGGTACTGGTCTCTCCCTCCCAGAGTCCACCAGCCCCGAAGCTCCCGCCCTGCCTCAGACACTCCAGATGATAACGTCCTATAAACTCCTGGCCAAGCACTTTGTCCAGCTCAGTCCTGAGAAGCTCCATCCACACTGCCCAGCAACCCAAACACCAGAGTGCATTGGGATCAGAAGAAACTACCCCAGATTACAGGATTCAAGCCCCAGCTCCTTAGTTGGCATCTGTGCCCCTCTGGTCACAGCCAGTCTCTCCTGCCTCCTTTCTCTCCCCTAAAACACACATGTGCTCTCCTCTCCTGCCTCACCCTGCCTCTCCACGAGTCACCACAGATCTGCTCCATTCCCCTGGGAATTCCCTTCCCCCACAACTTCTGCTATTTTCCAGCTTCTAGGCCACCTCCCCAGAGGTTTCTGAGGGATGTGATCCCTTCCTCTGCCCATCAGTGTGCTTCACTAGGCCTAGCAGAGTGTTTGTCTTATCTTGGGCTGTGAGGTCCAAGGGCAGAGCTGGAGTCAGGTTCCCTACCTGACACCAAGATGGGCACCTACTGATACCAAGACATGTTTCTGAAACTGGTCCAAATGAGGTTTCTGATCTTTCTCCCCAGCCACCAGACTCT